GCCAAAAAGCAGAGACAGGACCAATTGTCAAAATTTTGGTGTCGATCATTCGTTTTCATCCTGGACACTACAGAAAATGGGCTAAAAGTGTTAAAAACCGGAATTTTCCTTTAATCAAAGTCTGCATCTCCATTTATAGGGAATCTTTGGAAATTCTTAAATATTGATGTCCACAGCAATCATCAGTCAGTCTGATTGAGGCTTCTTGCACATTTGTTGCCAATAAACTGACGGGGCTGGACATATTAATGCTAAAACTATTATTCAGAGTCTATAGGCTGCAGCTCTTAGTTATCCAGTGGGAACGTGCTGTATGTGCAGTGGCTATATAAAGTGCCACACTTGTATGATATAAATAAATGCTAACTTATAGTACAGTGAAAAGGGTATTTACAGAAATTCATGTTTTCCCTTCCACACATGCAATCCCTTCATTTACATTCCAGTATTATAAAATATTTATGGCTTTTGTGAATATGGCTGTGTTGGAAAAGGACGTTTTTCTGCTTTGCATTTCTTGTGATGCATGAGAAGATGAGCCCCGAAGAGCGAGACAAAAGAAAAGAGGAAGAGGTAGAATAAGGATGGCAGAAGGGAGAAAATAGAAAAGAAGAAGAGGATGGGAGATAGAGAGATGATGAGGAGTAGAAGGAAGGAGGTGGGATGGATGAAGAGGACCCAGATGTGGCCTGAGGCTGAGAATTTGAAAGTGTGGCAAATTCAAATATTTATTAAAAGTGAGGTCTGGATAAACATGAAGGGGAGTGTGTGAGTGTGTTGAATCCCCCTGGGCTGCTGGCGCAAAGCACATTGTATTAATATCCAAGTATCCATGCCACCCTCTGAGCGCTGTGTGGGTGTATCTCAGTATGGGTTTTTTTCGGTGTCTCTGCTACCATTATATGGCTTTTATATGCCCTCGCATGTGTCTGCATGCATGCGTTCCTTTTTTAATCAGATTGATTAACGGGCTCTAACCATGGCACCTCTGAGCTCAGAATAAACGGCCGAGTTTAAGAGCAGCACCAGCGTGTCACTCTTCACTCAGTGTTTGGAAACACAGATGTAGAGCTGCTTGCCTCTGACCTGTGTCCATGTTTACACTTTAGGCAAGACAAGCCAAGTTTATTTAAAGGACACTTTTCACGCTTAAAAAAACCCAAAATGCTTCAGACAGGCTCAGATATCTAAACAACAGGCAAGACTGAAATAAATAAGTAAACACAGAGACATGATTATTTATATAAACAAGTTAAAATACACTGTTCCTATGCGAATTTTTCAGCACAGTAACTTTTTTTTTTTGTTTGGTTGCCTTTATTTTGTGTCGGCAAAAATTGAAACCAGAAATATAATCAGGATATGTAAAAACAAATGTAAAGCACATATCTAACGTGAATAATGTTTGACAATGAAGAAAAACTGAATATGATTATAAACTTTACCTTATCTTTACATTATATAGGTACGGAAGAGGATTAGGGCCAGTGGAGAAAAAAAAATTAACTGATTTTAAAATTTTATTTCAGTTTAGTATAGAAAAAAAGTCAGAATTCTGACTTCTTTCTCAGAATTCTAACTTTAATCTCAGAATTCTGAGATTAAAGTCAGAATTCTGAGACATCTAGTTTTTGTCTCGTCTCAGAAAAATAAAACCGGTAATAACTAAGTCAAAAATGTATGTTGTTTCAAAGAAAAAAACAAGTTAATTGATGGTGTTTTATTTTAAACTTGATGTCATGTCTGTCATGATTGTTGTTTTTGGAAGTGGAAAAGCTGGGACTTCAGAGACCTGAAATAAGAAACAATTAGCATTTTTTTGT